AGAGAGAGAGAGAGAGAGAGAGAGAGAGAGAGAGAGAGAGACAGAGAGACAGAGAGAAAGAGAGACAGAGAGACAGAGAGAGTTAGAGAGAGGTCTATGTAAGCTCCCAACCTCAATCACTAACCCTGAGCATACTTGGCCTCTGCCTTTGTTTGCTATAGTGGCTGGAGTGCTGTCCACCAACTGCATGTGATCTGAAGCACGTTCTAAGTGGGTTTGAGCCTTCTGTTTTCTGCCTCGTATGCTCTGTCCTCTTGGATTTGTGGCACAAAGCATGATGAGCAGGAGACTGGGATGCAGGGGGAAGGAGAGAGCCAATCCACATACCTGCGATGGGTCTTGGCTGACTCAGGATGGAGTCTGAACAGATATAGGGTGCTTCCTTCCTTCAGGCAGCCAAGGTCTGCTCAGCCAGGTCTGTCATATCTGCAGGCAAAGGGGAAAAGATTGGAGACATCAGTTTTGCTCTCAGGGGAAGGGGCCGATTGGAGTTAAAACACATTTTTTTTGGCTGTTTGGGTGGACTGAATGAATGAGGGACCCTGCCCCCCCCCACTTCTTTCTTCTGTTTTGTGTTTTAATTCTAGACTTGGTTATTGTAAACAGTCATTTGTTCTGAGTTCTGGAGCCATACAGTAACCATATCTTATAGTGCAGTGTAGTAGGGGCTTCTGCAAAGTCTTAGCTACTGTGAGATGGCTAAGCCTCGGCAGGGCTGCTCTGCGCTGTGGCCTGGGATGTCTGTCCCCGCCAACCCCCAACGCACCCCCGTGCTCTATGTTCTTCCAGTAGTAGTAGTGGGGCAGCAGGTGAGATGAACGCTGACCCAAGGGTGTGCTAGATGCCTACAATGGGTACCGTGGCACACTGCTTATCGTGAGTGGGGCGAGTGGAGGAGAAGGTAGATCAAGACAGAGCAGAGACAAGAGGAGGAGGTGAGGGTCTGTGGTGTGGAGCAGGCAGGGGAGACCTTCTTTCCTGTGCAGTGGGATGCAGAGGGGATGGCAGGGAGGTTTTCTCACCGTGTGTCATCCAGCTGGGATTCTGTGTGCTTTGCTCCATTGAACACCGGCTCCACTGAGATTCTGACGGGGTTAGCATCCTGCAGCCAACACTCTCTCGCCCAAAAACGTCCATCTGCTCTGAGGAGAGGGAAACAGCAACTGTGTGTCAAAGTGCTGGGATTATAGATGTTTTTCTCTTCTTTCTAGACTGTATAAGCTGTATATATAATACTTTAAAATAGAAATGGGTGTGTAAAAAGGAAAAGCCCCAACCCAGGTTTCCCCAAAGTCCATTAAGGTTTAAGCAGGCTCATTATCACCAATGAATGTGTTAAACAAACCAACAAACAACAAAAGAACCACAGTGTGGTGATTAGTTTGTATATGAGGCCAAAGAATATGGATTAACTTTTCCCATTGGGTAAAATGATTGCAGATTTAGCTTGCATGTTGTTGAGATGGTGTGTTTATCAAGTTATTTTACATATACGTGTTATTGGTTTGTATTCATTGTGCACAGTACTGGGCTTCGCAGGAACATTTTCATGCAGGTATAAAATGCGCCTTGACCCTCCTCCATCCCCCTTGCTACTCATCCCCTCCCCCTCTGTTAGCCCCTTATGTCTCCTGGATACTTCTACTGCCGTGTCATATCTACATACATACATGTGTGTATCTGTACATAATCTAGGCTCTGCAAATGAGAGAAAACGAGACGTGTGTCTTTCTGAAACGGGCTTGATTTGTCTAATATGATGATCTCTGGTTGGACTTATTTTCTTGCAAATAACAACAACATCTATTTTTCAAAAGCCCATTCCAAGCAGTGCTGAGAGCACAGGGCCAGAAAGGAATCCCCCTAAGACTGAGGGCTGCACTTGAACTTGGTGACTCTTCTGCCTGGAAATCACAGGGGTGTGCTAGTTTTCAGTGCACAGGCATGCGCACTAAATGGTCTGCCCTCACTGGGGCAGCAGTCTGCTAGCTAGACAACTAAATGTGACCCAATTAGACCGTTGATTCCCTGTCACCGAGGAAGTGGCCATTCATTGTCTTTCCTGACAACCTCAAGTTGCAAAGTGTTAATTACTATTTTAGCCCAGCTCTTCTCTACTCTGGACCAATGACCTGGTGGGAAACTGCAAAGGTTATTTAGAGTGCAAAGGCTCTTCCTCGTCAAAATTCATAATTATTAATAGGAACAATAAGATGGGTTATTTAGCATTGGATGTGGGTGGGTGGGACTTGGCAGCACTAGAATTTCACGTTCCAGGCTTCTGGGGAGATGCGGAGGCAGGAATTCTCTCCTCCACTCCTGCCACCGGCAGAGCGTGGTGGTGCCAGCCCTGCTGTGGTTTTGCGCAGTGCCCAGAGTGATTTGTTTGTTGTTTCTCCTGGCAGGCATTCTAGCGAGACTGAACATCTCTCCAGGGTTGGGCTCTGGTCCGGTGACTGTTCTGCAGAGCCACCAGAATCGGCACTCTGCAGAGAGCCTGGCAACCTGGGCAGACAGCTAGGAGGGAACATTCTGTGGGCATGGAAAGGCCACCTTAAATAATTACATTGCAAAAAGCGCTGGACACACACCACCTTCGGAGCCAAGAGCCACATTCGATTGGTAGTCTTATTACCATGGCATGGTGGTCTGCGGACTTCTGTAGGCTGGGTTGGAAAGTTTCACCCTGAGTTTGACCTCCAGAGTGCCCATGTGAGCTTGGGTTCCCTCTCCTGTGTTTTCTGGGGAACAGTAGCTCAGCTCTCCTGGGCTCTTAGCTGTACTTCACCCCGCACTGACCAGGCTGCTCAGTCTGGAGTCCAGCTAGAGGGAGGAAGCAGTGCACCTCCTTCTGTGAACTCTCACGGGTGGAAGAGTCCCCTGCTGGGATCAAAGTGGTGACCTGAGTGGGTGCGGTTTGTGCTGAGAGGGGACACAGTCAGAAAGAGAACATGGGTTGCACCAGAGAGACATCCTTACTGAATAAGCTGGCTTTACCCCTTACCCCAGTGGATATATCATATCATCTAGAGAAATGCTTGATTGAAACAGCTAGCATGGGGGGACTCTTGGCATCTAGTGCATAGACTCGGGATGAAGCTAAATATTCTATGATTTCCAGCTCCCCCCACTAAACACTAATCTATGCTTACAAATGCAATCCGAGCGTGTGAGAGACTGAGGCTGAATTTGAAACCAGCCTGGGCTATATAATGAGGTGCAGGCTAGCCTGAGCTACCATGTAAAACCTTCCTCCCTCTTTAAAAAAAAAAAAGTATCTAAACCAACACATCAGTTGTGCAGAGGTTAAGAAATCCTGGCCTAAGAAGAAGAAGTGAGTCATTGGGGGACACATGTTTTGATCCTTACTAGCAGAATTAAGATCTTTATGGTCCTTCCAGGTCTTTTTTTTTTTTCTTCCTCCAAAATTCCAAAATGGGCAGAACTAGAAAATGAAAGGCATGGAAGAAATTGAGGTATTGTTTTGTTTGGGAAGACGCAAACCACATTGCCACATTAGCCTCCAAGAAGGCACTGAACTATGGTTGTTCACAGGAAGGCGCTGAGCCATTCTCTTTCAAATGCTCAAGGAAAGAAAAATGGTTAAGGTTGAGGAAGGATTTGGGTTTGACCTAAGAAAGCATGACTCTGTGCATAAGTATGATTATAACTTTCCCTAAGTTCCCAACGAATATATAAAGTCACTTTCATGGAAAGCCTGTAAAGAAGCTGAGTGTAGCATACTCATGAGTCGGGGCCAACACGGGTACAGCCTAGAATCCGGAGCAGGACATGGGGTAGATGGCATTCAGTGTGCTCCATGATCCCCTGGACTTCTCTATGAACTTCAGGGAATAAACAAAATTACTGCTGTCATTTTTTGGTTGTGTTCAGTTTTTTACTTTCTCTCCCCACCCGGCCCGCTACCTGTCTGCACCCGATGAGAGCCATGTGCATGGTTGCTGGCCCACCACTCCCCTTCTCCCCTTCTCTCTCTCCCGCCTTAGTTCCATTTCTTCTTAGGATCACTGGCTGTGGGCTGAGGAGACTCCGGAACAGAGACTCACCCAAAATGCTGTGCTGTGACTGTGGTCTATAGCGGTTCTGTAGGGAGCCCAGTCCGCTTCTGACCCCAGCTCCCTCGGGAAACTGCAAATGGAGCGGCATCAAATCTCACTGTCTTATTGGATTGCCGTGCTGTGTCTAACTTTCTGACCGTTATCATTATCCTTAGATCTTTCTTGATGTCCCTCCAAATCTCTCCTGCCTGCCAAAGTTCTGCGATTGAAATTATTATTTCCCTTGGAAAGGATTTTCTGGATAGATTTGATTTTTTTCCATGTGTGATCTCTGTCCTATGTTTGTGAGTAGAAGAGGGAGAATATAATTTGCATTGGATTTCTCTGCAAAATTTTAATGAAAAAGAATATTGATTTTTTTTTCTTTTTCTCCCAATGCTCCCTAACCTGCATCTTCCACTTCTAGACAATGATTTATTTCTAAATATGAGTACTGGGCACAGTACTTGTGCTTTTGTGGGAATAGTAACCTTCATTTGGAGAGAAATTCTATCTCCTGGCCATAGACTGTAACCCTGCCAAGGTCAATCAGGTTTGGACTGACCAAAATTAGAGTGTGGGTAGTTTTGTGTAAACCTGCCTGCAGAGTGCATGTCTTGTCTTCATGGAATTGTAGAATTAAATTTTTCTGCCAGGCTGTTTTCTAACTGAGTGCAAGTTTGGGAGCTGGATCTTGCTCCTGTATTCACTGTATGACCTTAGGTAGGTTACATGACCTTTCTATGCACCATTTCCTTATCTGAGGAGTGATACAAAAATGACAGACTATGCAGGGCTCTCATGAGGGTCAAATGAGATAAAGAATGTTATTTAGCATGGTACCACATAAGCTATCATGTTAGTAATTGAGATACCAAGAAACTTCTGGAATCTCTAAGACTGACTGTTGAGAACTGACTCTCAACCATTTCTCCATCCTAGCAGACCCACGTATGACCTTAAGCTGGGTAATTATGCTCATAGGTGCATGCCATGCTTGTCCACAATACAGCCATCCTCATAATCCTGTCCACAGTACAGCCATCCTCATCATCCTGTCCACAGTACAGCCATCC